GCCGCTCACTCAGTGCCTCATATGCACGGCTGTCCCATGATGGCAGGCTGATGGAGGAAGGAAAATTGATGAGCCCATGCTGCCCCGGCATAAGGCAGATGCGGTGCGACCCTGCTCTTCCCCCTGTCCCGTTTCTTACTCCTCCGTGAAGCTGAAGCCCAGACTCACGGCACAGCGGAGCGCCAGGTCTACTGGGGCAGGCCCTGGCACGGCACAGTGCTTGCACCCTCCTGTCTTGTGAGCCACGCAGAAGGACACCAACCTGAACGGGATCCGGATCCCCATGGTGAGCATTTCTGAGAGAAATGCGTCCCTGTCTCTGCAGAGAGGGCACCGGAAACAAGTAATGCCATCACGTACAGCCTGTCCCTGCAGGAGAAACATAAGGAGCCGGAGTGAGGCCCTGGTGGTGCTGAGCGCCTGCCATGTCCCGGGGGCAAGGGAACGGCTCCCTACCTGATACAGCCCCTATGGAACCAGGCGTGTCTGCACGCTGGGCACACCATCGTGCCATAGGACTTTCTGTCCCCCACAGTGTTGAGGCAGATGAGGCAGGTGGTGGTCTCCTCTGGAGCTGCCTCCACTGCCTGCTCTGGGCGGTGTTCCCAGCAGAAGGACCTGCGGGGCAAAAAGGAGAGGCATGAGTGACGTCCAAATTTCTGGGTCCTTGCCCAGTGGGGGAGGGGACGTACCTGTACTGTAAAAGGAACTGGGTGACACATCCACCCTCCACAGCACAGGGGAGATGGAAGCTGCGGTCGCAGCCTGTCTCCCGGCAGGTGATGGTGGCCCCGCTCTCACCACAGACGAAGCAGTCCTGGAAAGAGCACAGCAGCCCCCATCAGAGGCAGCCTCAGGGCCTCCAAAGCCAACCCCGCACCGCTGGGCAAACACGCTTGAGCTTCCTATCCTTGTGCCAGGGAAAGATTCTGCCAAAGTCTAGGAAGGAGTAGGTAGGGTGGGGAAGACTTGCTAGCCCCTCACTAGCTGCCTTCTTGAAGGCCTATAAGGACATCTCACGGAGGGGAAAATAAAACCCAAACAAAAACACCTAGGAGGGAACTACAGAGCAGAGGCCATTTACCCTCAGAAACTCAGCATCCCTGGGCCAGCTCCAGGGCAGCTGAGGGAGCTGTTTCATCAGGTCCTGGGGGTCTTCGGCAACGGTGCTGCAGTACAAGCTTTGATCCAGGGGTGGGAGGAGTCCCCAGGGGAAGGCAGTCCAGGCTGCGGGCTCAGGTGAGCACCCCAGCAGCAGGGACATTTCCTCACTGAGCACCACGGAGTCCACTACTGAACCTGCCAGGACAAAAACCAGACAGTGTCTCAGGCACAACCAATGTAGGAAGAAAGGAATGTGAAATCCAGTATTGGAGAATCCAAGTCTGAAATGCAATTCAGGGCAGAGATAGAAACCTGAAACCCCCAGAAGGCCTTCTACAGTAGTAGCTGGCTGACACTGCTGAGAGGGACTAGAGGCTTCCCAGCCTTCAGCTTCTGCTTTGAGAGGGTCCTCAGCCATCCTCTTCTACCAGCCCCCTTCCAAGCCAAACTCTGGTGCTCAGGGTTTCCTTCTCACTGGGCTTTTGCAGATTTCGCTCAGCCTTCCAGCGCCAGGGCATTACAGAGCTCCGTTAGCAGATGCTGACAGAGCTGAACGGTGCCAGATAAGAAGCACCTCGGATCACAGCGAGGCTGTGCACGGCCACGCTCTTTGGCCAGCTCCATTCAGGCTCCATTGCTCAGGAGTGCCTCGGAGCTCGTGTCGCAATCCATTCCCTGAAAAGAATGACCTGTTCTGGCCACATCTAGACCTCACGTCTTCCCAATCATGGCACTCAAGAATAGAAGGACAAAGTTCTGCCACCGAGGGTTTTTTTTCAGACCCTCTGTACCTCCTTTCCTTCTTATTGCCTCTTTGCTGGCAGAAATGTCCATCAGGTCTCCTGGGTTCCCGCGCCTTCCTCCGAGAGGACAGCTGCTCCCTACTTTAAGGAATCAACTTCCATGGAGCATCAAGGCACTCAATGCACACACTGTAAGATCACCCGCAGTTTGCCTGAAGAGCAGTGGGTTGTTCACACCTGGACAGCCACCCCACGGGCTTTCCTTCGTGCTTTGGTCACCATTTGGTCTTCGATTCCGCCTTATAGTGCTCCACCAACTTCCACAGAGCTGTTCAGCAGTCACTCTGCAACCAACTCTTTCTCTCCTTCCTGCACTCGCTGGTACTTGCCGGTCTCCAACAGCATGGAAATGCTTTTGGATGACTGACAGGTGAACACAGGGCAGGGGCTCAGGAGCTGGGGGTGCCGGGTGCTGCGAGCAGGGGGGCTGTAGCCCTCAAGGAGCGTTGGCTGGCTCTGGTGTCTCTGAGGCAGCTCTGGGGGGCTGCTGCCGGCCCTGCTGGGACTGCATCACTTGGGGAGGCCCTGCCGAAGCCTCCAGCACAGGGCAGCCCCGGGCTTCGAGCAGAAACCCTTCAGCCCAAATGCTGCTGGATGCCTCCTGCCCATGCCAGGGCAAGGGTTGACGCTGGGGCCTGGGCACATGGTGCTGGGAAGTGAGCCACGAGGGCCATGCCGGGTGAGCAGGCACACCCCGCATTACCAGGAGACGGACAGCAGCGCCGACTGGGCCATGCTGGGCCTGACCGCCCTCCCAGGGGCAGGGGCAGAGGACCCCCAATCCCGGGGGCAGATGTGAGGTTCCCCTGGGGAAACTGAGCAGGCTATGGGGCCAGCAAGGCGCCAAGCGCATGGCCATGGCTCTGGGGCAGCCGGCCAAGGCCAGCACGCAAGGAGGGAGGTCTGGGGAAGGTGCTGCCACCACCCCCTGGGGAAAGGACAACCCTGTGGGCGCAGCCTCTACCGCTGCCCCTCCAGAAAGGGAGGGGAGGAGGAAGCTGATAAGCATGGAATCTCCCAGTGCAGAGATTAATGGCCAACTTTATTCTGTTGGTGGAGGTAGATCAGGGACAGCGCACGAATGGTCCTGTGTCTTCGTGCATGCTGACTATAGGGAATTTGGGCCCAACGTGGCAAGCAGGAGCAGTCTTGCATCTGTACAGGCTGGAGGGGCTGCTGCCCTGAAGTGCTGGGGAGCTACAGGAGGAATCCAGTGCAGCCTGGCTACCAGTGTGGTACCTGCTGGTCTCAGTGCTGGGAAGCAATGGGAAGGCCCCAATGCTGCGGGGCTAACGGTGCTGGGACTGCTGCTCTTGAGTACTGGCAAGCTCTGGTGTTGGCACATGGCTGCTCTCACAGCATCTTCTGTGCCGGCACTATGAATTTTAGGCCCAATATTGCAAGCAGGAGTAGTGTTTCAACCACTCGAGCACAGGGGGGGATGGAGGGGCCGCTACACTGAAGTACTGGGGAGACACAGGAGGAGCCCAGTGACACCTGGCTGGCCCTGAAGTGCTGGAGAACCATAGGACTGGCTGCTGACTGTCTGGCAGTCCTGAGGCAGGTGAGCTCCAAGCTAGCACTGGAGGCAGTACGGGGAAGCAGGAAGGTCACAGCTGTCCCATGATGGCAGGCTGATGGAGAAAGGAAAATTGATGAGCTCCCACTGCCCCAGCGTAAGGCAGATGCAGCATGACCCAGCATGGGCCCAGGGGGCGTTGGGCCGCTGCTGCCCTCAAGTGCTGGAGAACTCCTGGAGGAACCGATGCTGACTGGGTGGCAGTGCTGGGGCCGGCACGCTCTGAGATGGCACTGGAGGCTGTAAAGGGAAGCAGGAAGGTCAAGGGCATGGTCTCCCAGGCCTGGGGCAGGACAGGCCACAGCGGTGCCCCCAGCCCTCCTGGAGCAGAGGGGCTCTGCCAAGCCCACCCTGGGCACGCGCTGCCAGGCCTGGCCGGGCCCAGCCCCGGGGCAGCCGGGTGCTTTGCCTCTTACCGGTGCCCAGGCCAGCACAGCTGTCGCACTCCCAGCTGGCTGTCCTGTTCCTCAAAGAGGAGCATCGCCTGTGGGTGCCCTCAGCAGCGCAGGAGCGGCACAGGAGCAGTTCCCATGGCCTGGGGAAGCAAAGGGGTTCATGGCTGTGAGGACAAAGTGACCGCAGCACAGGACAGTCCCGCAGAGCTCGTTTTCAGTCCTTCCCCTTCGAGCCCTTGGTGAGACAGAGATCCCGTGCAGGGCCCCGGGGTGCAGTGTTGGCAACTCACCCCTCTTCCTCTGCCTGCTCCCTGCCTCCTGGGCAGAGGCACTCCCGGGCGTCACAGCGGCTGTGCCGCTCACTCAGTGCCTCATATGCACGGCTGTCCCATGATGGCAGGCTGATGGAGGAAGGAAAATTGATGAGCCCATGCTGCCCCGGCATAAGGCAGATGCAGCACCACCCTGCTCTTCCCCCTGTCCCGTTTCTTACTCCTCCGTGAAGCTGAAGCCCAGACTCACGGCACAGTGGAGAGCCAGGTCTACTGGGGCAGGCCCTGGCACGGCACAGTGCTTGCACCCTCCTGTCTTGTGAGCCACGCAGAAGGACACCAACCTGAACGGGATCCGGATCCCCATGGTGAGCATTTCTGAGAGAAATGCGTCCCTGTCTCTGCAGAGAGGGCACCGGAAACAAGTAATGCCATCACGTACAGCCTGTCCCTGCAGGAGAAACATAAGGAGCCGGAGTGAGGCCCTGGTGGTGCTGAGCGCCTGCCATGTCCCGGGGGCAAGGGAACGGCTCCTACCTGGATACAGCCCCTATGGAACCAGGCGTGTCTGCACGCTGGGCACACCATCGTGCCATAGGACTTTCTGTCCCCCACAGTGTTGAGGCAGATGAGGCAGGTGGTGGTCTCCTCTGGAGCTGCCTCCACTGCCTGCTCTGGGCGGTGTTCCCAGCAGAAGGACCTGCGGGGCAAAAAGGAGAGGCATGAGTGACGTCCAAATTTCTGGGTCCTTGCCCAGTGGGGGAGGGGACGTACCTGTACTGTAAAAGGAACTGGGTGACACATCCACCCTCCACAGCACAGGGGAGATGGAAGCTGCGGTCGCAGCCTGTCTCCCGGCAGGTGATGGTGGCCCCGCTCTCACCACAGACGAAGCAGTCCTGGAAAGAGCACAGCAGCCCCCATCAGAGGCAGCCTCAGGGCCTCCACAGCCAGCCCCGCACCGCCGGGCCGGGTGCAGGATCTGCCTGGCAGAGAAGGCTCCTGCGATGGAGCCTCTGCGGAGCTGCTGAGAGCCAGATGTTTGTCCCAGAGCTGCTTGGAAGGGCTGGGATTTCTTTTCTGGGGTCTGGGCTAAGATCCTGCAAACACCTCCTGGCATAAATCTCCCTGTTCTTGTCATGTCCTCACCTTCTCTGCTGCCCAGTTGACTGTACGTTGGATATCTTCAAAGCGAAATCCCACAAGTCCTAAGGTCTCGACTCGTTGCTGACAAAGGTGGTTGGCAAAATACTGCAGAAGAGAACAGACAAGGAACTGATGAGGAGAGTGTGGCAAGGACTGCCTGTTGGAAAGCTGGAGGGAGCCCCAGAGGAACTCACCAGGCAAAACTCATGGGCACAGACCCCTTGCTTCTCCAGCTTGCGCCCACAAGTATCCGGGTCAGCTTCTGCCCGGCGACACAGCGTGCATGCTGGAGGGTAGAGAGCAAAGGGCGCCGGGAATGAGCACCTCAGTGGGGCCGGGGGACGCGTCCCCGAGGGATTGCCCCCCGGGGCCCGTCTGGCCCTGCCTGGCTGGCTGATGGTCAGGGCTGGAGGCCGCGGGGAGGAAGGGGGCATTGCAGGCAGGGCTGTCCCAGCAGGTGCCCACTGCCCAGCCTGGGCCCCGCGTGCTGAGGAAAGGAGGGGCCCTGCCCCGGGGCGCTGGGGGAGCTCCTGCCTCCCCCGGCCACCGCTCTCGGCCCCACGCTGACCGCCCCACAACCCCTCTGCCAGGGACACTTTGCTCTCACCCTGCTCCATCGAGTCGGGGGCCTTCCGCTTCCTTGCGGACATGGCACACATCAACACTGGATGCCAAGTATGGACTCCAATGCCCAGCAGCGCCGGGCTGTAACCTCCAACTGCTCTGCTGCTGACCCTGAGAGAGAAGCGGGACGTGGGTGGTCTTGCAGCACAGGCCGAGAGCGCAGAGGTGTGGGGCCCCCCGGCCACCCTTGGCGGCCCTGCGCGAGCCCCGTCCCTCCCCTTCCCTCTCCTCACCTCACCAGGTCGCACTGACGCCAGGCTGGTGCCAAACATTCCATTTCGTGCACTTGACCCCGTGGGTCACCGTGGCCACCGTGACATCAGCACCGCTGGCCTGTATGGGCCCCAAACACAGACAGGGACGCCCTCGGCCACCTGCCACCCCCTCTGAGACAGCCACTGCCTCACAGGGGTGGCTGTGAAGTTCCAAGGTGGGGGCCCGAGCCCTTGGCACCCATAAACGGTCACACGCCAGGTCCCCCAGAGCAGCCGTCGAGAATGGCACTGTTGTTCGAAAGGTGCTGGTCAGGCAGGGTGACTGCAGGGCTCCAGCCCTGGCCAAGGGACATCTCTCCTCCTGCCCCCAGCACAGGCAGAGGTCAGAGAAGGTGATCCATCCTCCTGCGCTGCACCAATGAGGCTGTGCCTGCAGTACTGCCTCCAGTTCTGGGCTTCCCAGTACAGGGGACAGAAGTGACCTTCAAGCCCGGCCTTTCTTCCTGCCCTTGCAGGAGAAACATAAGGAGCCGGAGTGAGGCCCTGGGTGAGACAGAGATCCCGTGCAGGGCCCCGGGGTGCAGTGTTGGCAACTCACCCCTCTTCCTCTGCCTGCTCCCTGCCTCCTGGGCAGAGGCACTCCCGGGCGTCACAGCGGCTGTGCCGCTCACTCAGTGCCTCATATGCACGGCTGTCCCATGATGGCAGGCTGATGGAGAAAGGAAAATTGATGAGCCCATGCTGCCCCGGCATAAGGCAGATGCGGTGCGACCCTGCTCTTCCCCCTGTCCCGTTTCTTACTCCTCCGTGAAGCTGAAGCCCAGACTCACGGCACAGTGGAGAGCCAGGTCTACTGGGGCAGGCCCTGGCACGGCACAGTGCTTGCACCCTCCTGTCTTGTGAGCCACGCAGAAGGACACCAACCTGAACGGGATCCGGATCCCCATGGTGAGCATTTCTGAGAGAAATGCGTCCCTGTCTCTGCAGAGAGGGCACCGGAAACAAGTAATGCCATCACGTACAGCCTGTCCCTGCAGGAGAAACATAAGGAGCCGGAGTGAGGCCCTGGTGGTGCTGAGCGCCTGCCATGTCCCGGGGGCAAGGGAACGGCTCCTACCTGGATACAGCCCCTATGGAACCAGGCGTGTCTGCACGCTGGGCACATCATGGTGCTGTAGGACTCTGTCCCCCACAGGGTCGAGGCAGATGAGGCAGGTGGTGGTCTCCTCCAGAACCGCCTCCACTGCCTGCTCTGGGCAGCGCTCCCAGCAGAAGGACCTGCGGGGAACAGGAGAGGGATGGGTGAGGTGAGAAGCGCGGGGTCCTTTCCCAGTGGACTGGGGGAGACGGGGAGGGGAGAGTGCAGAGATTAATGACCAACTTCATTGCGCTGTTGGAGGCACATCACAGCCAGCACTTGGGGATGGCCCACGTCAGGTCCTCCGGCGACGTCTGGGCCGGCTGTAATGAGTTCGGCCCCGACGTCGCAAGCGGGAGCGCTCTCGCACCCGCAGAGGCCCAGGGAGGGTTGAGCCACTGCTGCCCTCAAGTGCTGGAGTACTGCTGGAGGACACCGGTGCTGCCTGGCTGGAAGTGCTGGGGCCGGCACGCTCCGAAGTGGCACTGGAGGCTGTAAAGGGAAGCAGGAAGGTCAAGGGCATGGTCCCCCAGGCCTGGGGCAGGACAGGCCACAGCGGTGCCCCCAGCCCTCCTGGAGCAGAGGGGCTCTGCCAAGCCCACCCTGGGCACGCGCTGCCAGGTCTTGCTGGGCCCAGCCCCGGGGCAGTTGCCTCTTACCGGTGCCCAGGCCGGCACAGCTGTCGCACTCCCAGCTGGCTGTGCTGTTCCTCAAAGAGGAGCACCGCCTGTGGGTGCCCTCAGCAGCGCAGGAGCGGCACAGGAGCAGTTCCCATGGCCTGGGGAAGCAAAGGGGTTCATGGCTGTGAGGACAAAGTGACCGCAGCACAGGACAGTCCCGCAGAGCTCGTTTTCAGTCCTTCCCCTTCGAGCCCTTGGTGAGACAGAGATCCCGTGCAGGGCCCCGGGGTGCAGTGTTGGCAACTCACCCCTCTTCCTCTGCCTGCTCCCTGCCTCCTGGGCAGAGGCACTCCCTGGCGTCACAGCGGCTGTGCCGCTCACTCAGTGCCTCATATGCACGGCTGTCCCATGATGGCAGGCTGATGGAGGAAGGAAAATTGATGAGCCCATGCTGCCCCGGCATAAGGCAGATGCAGCACCACCCTGCTCTTCCCCCTGTCCCGTTTCTTACTCCTCCGTGAAGCTGAAGCCCAGACTCACGGCACAGTGGAGAGCCAGGTCTACTGGGGCAGGCCCTGGCACGGCACAGTGCTTGCACCCTCCTGTCTTGTGAGCCACGCAGAAGGACACCAACCTGAACGGGATCCGGATCCCCATGGTGAGCATTTCTGAGAGAAATGCGTCCCTGTCTCTGCAGAGAGGGCACCGGAAACAAGTAATGCCATCACGTACAGCCTGTCCCTGCAGGAGAAACATAAGGAGCCGGAGTGAGGCCCTGGTGGTGCTGAGCGCCTGCCATGTCCCGGGGGCAAGGGAACGGCTCCTACCTGGATACAGCCCCTATGGAACCAGGCGTGTCTGCACGCTGGGCACACCATCGTGCCATAGGACTTTCTGTCCCCCACAGTGTTGAGGCAGATGAGGCAGGTGGTGGTCTCCTCTGGAGCTGCCTCCACTGCCTGCTCTGGGCGGTGTTCCCAGCAGAAGGACCTGCGGGGCAAAAAGGAGAGGCATGAGTGACGTCCAAATTTCTGGGTCCTTGCCCAGTGGGGGAGGGGACGTACCTGTACTGTAAAAGGAACTGGGTGACACATCCACCCTCCACAGCACAGGGGAGATGGAAGCTGCGGTCGCAGCCTGTCTCCCGGCAGGTGATGGTGGCCCCGCTCTCACCACAGACGAAGCAGTCCTGGAAAGAGCACAGCAGCCCCCATCAGAGGCAGCCTCAGGGCCTCCACAGCCAGCCCCGCACCGCCGGGCCGGGTGCAGGATCTGCCTGGCAGAGAAGGCTCCTGCGATGGAGCCTCTGCGGAGCTGCTGAGAGCCAGATGTTTGTCCCAGAGCTGCTTGGAAGGGCTGGGATTTCTTTTCTGGGGTCTGGGCTAAGATCCTGCAAACACCTCCTGGCATAAATCTCCCTGTTCTTGTCATGTCCTCACCTTCTCTGCTGCCCAGTTGACTGTACGTTGGATATCTTCAAAGCGAAATCCCACAAGTCCTAAGGTCTCGACTCGTTGCTGACAAAGGTGGTTGGCAAAATACTGCAGAAGAGAACAGACAAGGAACTGATGAGGAGAGTGTGGCAAGGACTGCCTGTTGGAAAGCTGGAGGGAGCCCCAGAGGAACTCACCAGGCAAAACTCATGGGCACAGACCCCTTGCTTCTCCAGCTTGCGCCCACAAGTATCCGGGTCAGCTTCTGCCCGGCGACACAGCGTGCATGCTGGAGGGTAGAGAGCAAAGGGCGCCGGGAATGAGCACCTCAGTGGGGCCGGGGGACGCGTCCCCGAGGGATTGCCCCCCGGGGCCCGTCTGGCCCTGCCTGGCTGGCTGATGGTCAGGGCTGGAGGCCGCGGGGAGGAAGGGGGCATTGCAGGCAGGGCTGTCCCAGCAGGTGCCCACTGCCCAGCCTGGGCCCCGCGTGCTGAGGAAAGGAGGGGCCCTGCCCCGGGGCGCTGGGGGAGCTCCTGCCTCCCCCGGCCACCGCTCTCGGCCCCACGCTGACCGCCCCACAACCCCTCTGCCAGGGACACTTTGCTCTCACCCTGCTCCATCGAGTCGGGGGCCTTCCGCTTCCTTGCGGACATGGCACACATCAACACTGGATGCCAAGTATGGACTCCAATGCCCAGCAGCGCCGGGCTGTAACCTCCAACTGCTCTGCTGCTGACCCTGAGAGAGAAGCGGGACGTGGGTGGTCTTGCAGCACAGGCCGAGAGCGCAGAGGTGTGGGGCCCCCCGGCCACCCTTGGCGGCCCTGCGCGAGCCCCGTCCCTCCCCTTCCCTCTCCTCACCTCACCAGGTCGCACTGACGCCAGGCTGGTGCCAAACATTCCATTTCGTGCACTTGACCCCGTGGGTCACCGTGGCCACCGTGACATCAGCACCGCTGGCCTGTATGGGCCCCAAACACAGACAGGGACGCCCTCGGCCACCTGCCACCCCCTCTGAGACAGCCACTGCCTCACAGGGGTGGCTGTGAAGTTCCAAGGTGGGGGCCCGAGCCCTTGGCACCCATAAACGGTCACACGCCAGGTCCCCCAGAGCAGCCGTCGAGAATGGCACTGTTGTTCGAAAGGTGCTGGTCAGGCAGGGCGACTGCAGGGCTCCAGCCCTGGCCAAGGGACATCTCTCCTCCTGCCCCCAGCACAGGCAGAGGTCAGAGAAGGTGATCCATCCTCCTGCGCCGCACCAATGAGGCTGTGCCTGCAGTACTGCCTCCAGTTCTGGGCTTCCCAGTACAGGGGACAGAAGCGACCTTCAAGCCCAGCCTGGGCTCACACAGCCCATCTGCTCACACAGTGGGTGGCCGGGGCACCGCACAGGACAGCGCCTCATGCTGCAGATGGCCCAACATCTTTCTCCTGAACTCCTCAGCTCTTTGGTGACATGGTGCCTCCAGAACAAAAAGCAACAGGACCACAAAGTGGGGAGTCACAGCAGAAATGGCCTTCTTCCATGGCAATAAACTGCCTTTCAGAGTCAGTGTGAGCCTTTCCTTGGTGGGGCAGGAAACTGCAGGTGGCTGTGGAGCAGCTTCAGAGGCACCAGAAAGGGGCATGATGGAGCAGAGAGCAGCGGAGCCCCTCTCCTGGGCAGCTCTCACCCTGGCCCCTGCGTTTACAGGCTGGAAGAGCAGGGAGGGAAACTTTGGGAGCAAGAGTTCATGACTGAGCTCTCTAAATCTTGGCAAACCTCTCCCCTTGGCTCAGTGTTTTGCCAGCTGCAGCCTGGTCCAAAAGCCCGGGGACTCTTCTCTGGGCAGAGCCCAGGGCTGGTGGCCACTCACTGGCATGGGCCAGAGCCCCCCGGAAGCTCCCCCAGGGCAAAGGCTGAACTGCCCCCTAGCCTGGCCAGACCCCAGGGTCTGGAACCCCCAAGGGATGGCCATCAAGTGGGGGAGCTCCCACCAGCACCGTCTCACACTACTAGTTTCTTTCCCCTCGTCCTCTCCCCCTTCCCTCAATGCCTTTTATTTCTGCCTTACCAGCCTCTGCGCTTCCTTGGCCTCCTGTCTGTTTGGCCTCCTGTTCTGGGCAGAAGTTGGGGCTTTTGCCATCTCATATTCCTGCAAACTAAAGCAAAACTGAAGTCTACAAACCAGCCCTAGTACTCCTCTTTCCTGCACAGGAAACACATGCAGAAGCAAACAACTCCATACATCATGGAGAGGGCACCTCTTGAGACCATCCAGTCCAAGTGCCAGCCCACGCAGGGTCCCCTGGAGCAGGCTGCCCAGGCCCATTCCCACTGGGGTTTTACCTGTCTCCAGGGCACAGCGGGTGGCAGGAGGCTGAGGGCATCCCAGCCCATATTTGGGGCAAACAAAGGCCAGCAGTGGGGTCACCGTGACCCACAAGGGCAAGCCCAAAAAAAAGGGCTCAGGCCACGTGTCAGTGCGCCCTGGTGAGGTGCAGAGTTGCTACATAATTAAACTAAAAGCTTTCAAGTGTACATGTCTGAGCACACATTTTTCATCACTTGACTTTTTTTTGGTCCATCCAAACACTGCAAAGGGAACACTGCTCATTATAAGCCTGCCACTTGTACGTGCTGAAACTGCCAATTCAGAGCTTAGACCTGCAATACACACACCATTAGTGAACCTAAACCAGCAGCTTAATAGAATTTTACAACTTCTGAATCTCCAAATTTTCAACAATTAAAAAACCAAAATCAATACAAAGGTTAAGATTGAACAAGTAAAGGAACAAGACATGAAGAAAATTGGTTGTAACAAAATGAAGCATTTTCTATCCAATAATGAGTCTCAGTAAGCATAAATCCTTGAAAGAAATGTTATTAAATATTTAAAATTTGATCTCACAGACAAGAAAAAATAATTTTTATTGAGACAAATTTTTGATGCTGGCATTTAAAATCTCAGACAAAAACACCAACAGTGGAGTGAAAGTAAGTTTTACGATTAACCTTCTGGAACTTCAGCATCAGTGTGATTGTACTTAAGACGTTCTGTAAAACACTGATCAAAACCCTTTTTTTTATCTTTTAACTAAGGCTGCAGAGTATTTCCGACAAGTTAATCAATACCCTTATAAACGAATTATACGCTGAATGAAATAATCTTACAGAGCTAGCGTGGACACATGCTGTGTGTGCCATTAATTTACTTGTAAACGTCAGAACTTTCTGCTCACCTTGTGACACTCCAGACCACTGACAACTCAATCTCTCTGCAGCGCACTACGTTCTACCTCAGTAACAGTTATATTGCTATTGGTCCTTGCCCTAGTGTTTTCTTCAGCTTTTGTTTTATGCATTCTGGGGTTTTTTTTGGTCAGACCATTTATATTCTAACCAGTTAAGCAGCCCACCATGCCAAATAAGGGTGTTCTTAATTACATCTCAAGACGTGAGCCATACAATGCCTTCACACATGCACTCTCCATCGGTAAGAACGGGAGCTCCCTCCATGAAGTCCATCCACTAGGTTATGTAAGAAGGGTGTATCTTAGATCTTCGTTCATTACCAAAGAGGCTGTTTGAAGAAAAGCTTAGAGAAGAATGACGCATAAAAATTACTCAGCTCTCTTTCACTGCACTGACCAGTTGAGAAGATAAAATAACGTCCAGTTGGCATTCTTTTACATTGCTGCTCCAGTATCAATGCTTCAAATAAACACATGTGGAAACTTTTTTGCGTACAGATCTTACGCAAAAATACAGCCCTTTACTGCAAGCATGTACAAGAACAGTTCTGCACAGGAGCATTTCATGTTCCTTTCTTCATATAGCGGGAGAGGAACTGGCTTCTGACAAAGTGGATCAGCTTGGTCTCTGTGCAGAACATGGTAACGATGGTTGCTGCAAAGCACAGAGCCCCCACACTGATGTGAATCAGCCTCGCCATCCAACCCTTATCGCAGCAGAAGAATACCTACAACAAAGGAAACAAGGAGTGGCAGGAAAGCTAGTCAGCACAAAGTAGATTTACTGTCTCAGTAAAAAACAATGTCCAACACCTCTCTTGACCACACTAAAATCACCATCAAGCTGAGTGCAGTTTTTCCACATGCACTGATCCTACAATAAATCATCTTTAGTAGTCATAACACTTGCTTTCTCAAAATTCTGTCAGCAAAAAACGAGCATTCAGTAGACACCTGGTAAATGCGGAAGTTACTATTACCTGGCATGCAGAAATATGTTAATTGAGAATTAGGAAAACTCTGCTGGTGCCATCAGGCAAATCTGCTACTTTGCAGCAACATACAAGGTTATTTTCTAACAAAACCTCACTGGAAATCGCCCATTCCAAAATATAAAGCTCTCCTTCTCTAAGGCATAATGGATTTTCAATCTGTCACATTTTTGTACACTGAAATGCTACCATCTCCACAATAATTAGTCTGCGCAATTACCATCTTGTTGTCTGAATAAATGTGCTCTTGGCAAATTTGTTTCTGTTCTGGTTTTGGTTGTTTTTCCTCTATCATATTTTTTTTTCCTGAATGTTTAAGAACAGTTTCGTTGTGCTACTGCAAAATTTCAATTATTATTAAGAGCTAAAGACGTGGATTTATCTACAGACAGCAGAAATGAATGTTACCTTACTTGTCAGATACACCTTCTAGAGGTGGCAGAGATACCTTTGTATCAAAGACAGAATCTCTTAATACTGCATCTTGCCTTGCCTATAATGGAGGTCTTCCAGCCTACCCCCACCAGCCTGTTTTGCTAATGGTATCTCTCTGCTTATGGGCACATGAGTCGTTTGACACAAACGTCCACAGTGAAAGCAAAATCTGAGAAAGATGCTTACCTCTGAGAAACCAGTGATTACTCCACTTAAGATATAAACGAGTACCAAAAATGGTGAGGGAAGCAAGCCTGCCAAAGGTCTGTAAGTGCTTTCTTTGAAGTAATCATAGATATAGTGGATGCTGTGAGCTATTCGAATGCCCATGTTAAAGCAGTTGGCAAGGATAAAGCCTATACTGCCATGCCAGTGTGTCAAGAAATAAGAGATGCACAGAAACGTGAAGGACAAGGCCAGCATAACAAAATTGTACCTAGGAAAAAAAAGCAACAATTTAACAATGCATACAGTTACAGTATTTACTTACTAATTTACTTTACCTTTGAAGAAATACCACAATTTATTTTCTAAAATGAGGAACAGAAATGCTCTTACCATCTTCTAATGGAATAAGACAAATTTGAGAACTGAGACGTTAATAACAAAATTCACTGAAAGAATGGAAAATATATCAAACAAATTAAACCAAGAACTACATTACGTGAAGGAAATTCTATTTCACTAATCAGCTGTATACTCATTTCAGAAAGTCAAATTTAGTAACAATGATTAGTAATGTAAAACCTTGTGGATTTTTTACTATTTTATTTTAGGTATGTATTGAAGAAAAATAACGCTCAACAAGATGATGCTTTATTTAGTTTCTGCTCCAAACAGTGGCTTTGAAAACAACTCCACACTTTAATGGGGTAATGAAAGCAGCCCTTGCCAAGTCTAAAACATACTATTTTGACCATGGAAAGCAGACCTCATCGACATTAATTTGGAAAGGCCCTATAAGGGACAGCTGCTATATAAGCAAAAAAAGCTTGATGGTAGCACTGGGAAGGTAACCAGGCTTCAAAGTCAATAACCCAGGATGGACACAGAATCAAGAAATAATCCAGGCTGGACGGGATCTCAAGAAGTCATCTAGTCCAACCTCCTACTTAAAGTAGATAAACCACTGAATTCAGACCCACAATTTAAATCATTCCGAAGTGTACCTGATACACAGTTGCAAAATTTTAATGAGTTTTAAGTGATAGTGTCTTAAAAACTGTAATTTCAAATGCATATGTACAGAAAACAAGACTTCACATCTAAATTATTTTTCCATTTAGTGATGTACTGAAAGCTAATTTAACAATCTTTTTCTGTCTTAATTTCTGACCTTTTTACTCAAACATTTAAACATTTGCTAAAGCTTCTACATCTAAATCTATCTGCAGACAGCTAAATAAGAAGTTGGGTTTCAGTCAGTTTTTTATGCTGATTTCAAATGCACCATTCTCTTTATAAGCATTATGTATACATTTTTAAGATCAATGTTTACCAACAAATACAAGCATGTTAAAAAAAAAAAAAAAAAAACAAACAAAATAGTGCATGTTTGCTTGCCCAGCTGTTGCACCTGGCTCTGGATACAAGGCACATAGTTCTTAAAGTGACTGCAGAAAGAACTTTGCTCTTTGGAAAAAGAGCATTTCCAGGCAGAACAATTGTTCTGTTTACATACTGAACTCCAAGCAGACCATATGCAGATTAATTACAGGATTATTCTGAGGACACTATTTCCTACCTGTCTACCTCCTCTTTGCACATCAAAGCAAACGTAAAACATTCTGTTACTCCATTAATAGCAAGAAATAGGACATATAAAGAGTAACATCGGAGGAGATCCGGACCTAAAAAACACAATAAGTAGATTATTATTTCTTTTATAAAACTGCGTTGTTTTTACACTCACCAAGAGATAAAAGTTGTAATGTTATCACTAACAATGTAAACAAGTTGATTTGAACAAGCTTCCTATCTAGATACCTTGACAAGAACACAAATAAACAGGGCAAAATATAAACAAAAATAAAAACCCAAACACCCAAGAACAGCAGTTCTTATAGTAACAGAAAAGATAACCATAAAAAAAATTATTTTATTAAAAGGGATTTCCTAATTAAAAAATAATATTTATCATAACCCAAATCTTCTATCATACAGAAATTTGTGGAAATTAATCCAATAGTCATTACGAGGTACTAAATGCAATAAAATGTACATTTTGAACACAACAGTAAGAAAACCAGAAAGGATGTTCAATACATTCAAAACCGTGCTAGATAAAATATTATATTCTGATTTTTATGGGTCAGAGATAATTTATACATGACTTCAAAATTCTCCATTAAGACCTTAATCTTTTCCTTGTCCTTTAGAGGGAGGACTAAGACTGGGGAAAAAAAAAAAACCCACGCTTTTTAACAGGTTAGCGTGCATCCCTTCTTGATGGCAGCAATGTA